TCTCTTGACTCTTTGCTATTCGGTCTTTTTTTTTTTCGTTTTGGCATTGCTGCTATTGCAGAACCCCGGGCCTTTCATTTGCGCCGATATGTACACATAGTTTTTTTTTGTTGATACAATTCCCTCCGGTTCTTCAGGCGAGCAAGGGGAAAAAGCACTGTGTGGTGTCCCGCCCACACTCACTCCCTCGCTGGCAGCGTGTGGGTGTGAAGCGTGTGCGGGCCGCAGTGCCTGCACGACTCCCAACGCCCTCTTCCCACACACATGAAAGAATATGCATATATATATATATATTATATATATATATATGTATAGTAGAAGCTAACAGACTGATTTCGTGTGTGGTCTGTCGTTCCCCGCCAGCGCCTCCTCCGTGCAGTTGAGGTGGCTGTCGTTGGATAGTTTGCCGCGGTGCATGTGCGCCGCACTAGGGCGCAGCAGAGGTGCATTGTTTGGCTGTCTTTCTCTCCCATCTCTGTGCATCGGTAGAAATCACAGGTTTGGTGGTGCGTGTCATCCCGGCATCGGACACACCCGCACTTTACCGCCGCGCATACCCGCGTGACACCTACATACACACATACATCCCTGGTGTAGATAGCGCACTGAAGGCTCTGCAAGGGTGGTGGTTGGGGGTGGCCGGGTTTGTGTATGTATACATATAAGTTTCTGCCTCCCCATGAAACATAAAAGAGAAACTCTGAAAGTGAAGGTGGAGGAGGGGGATGCATCCGCTTTCACGAAGACGCCCTCCAAAAGGGGTCGGCTCGAACTTCCTGGCCTAGCCCCACATCAACACACGGTGCGCACCGCGGAGGAGATGGAAAAGGCTTACAGTGAGGCCGTTAGGAAGCATCCCTTTCACGATAACGCAGATCACACTATTGACTTTCACGACGTCAGCGTATTTCGAGACGCCAATGGGGCGGTTTGCGGCGTCCTGCTACCAGGAGCTCTGCCTGCATTTGCCGCTAGCATGGCAGCCGACGTTTTGCGTCCCGCAGCCACAAGGACGTCTCTAAGGTCAAATATGTTCGGTGGGCTAGCGCCTCTCAGTGGGATCGCCGGTTACTTTGACTACCGCGGCTCCCCGGTGGAACTAAAATGCCGTAAGACATCCTTTACGCACGAGCACGTCCAATCGTGGCCAAATATTTTTCCCATGATTGACTACGTGAGCGCCATCTACAAGGCGGTTTTCCCCGCACAGTGGGCCGCGCAGGACGCCGCGGTGCCGGACGTTGTCCGCATTCACCACTCTCCATTTTCCACCTTGACGATTAATCAGCAATTTCGGACCGCCTCACACACGGACGCCGGTGATTTTGATATGGGGTACGGTCTGCTGGCGGTTTTGGAGGGTAAATTTGAAGGTCTCTCCCTCGCATTTGATGACTTTGGCGTCTGCTTCCGCATGCAACCGAGGGACATTTTGATTTTCAACACACACTTCTTTCATTCGAACACGGAACCGGAGTTGGCGGATCCCAAAGACGATTGGGATCGGCTCACCTGTGTCTTCTACTACAGGGCCGCGTTGGGAGAGCCTGCCTGCGTTGCAGAATACATGCGGCGTTTGGCGCATGCCAAGGCACTGGCTGCCACCCCATCTCCCGTCGTGGACGCCATTCTTCAGAAGGACAATGGGAATAATTTTAATAAACCTGCCCCGACCTTTCCTGTTCCGCTCACACCGTTTGGAGGGGCGGCGGGCCTTTGCGCTTTGCAGGGCTGTGCCGCCAAACTCCTGAGGTTGCACGAGTTGCTGCTGGCAAATCCAACGCTGGAGGTGTTTTTATTCGGGGAGCCCCTGCGAACGGAGGATGGCCTGCCGGCCCGTGCAAAGGAGCAGCTCCGGCCCGTGCATCTTCCTGTGGTTGTCAAGGCGCCTGCTACCGGGGGGTTTAGCGAGATGGGAAATGTTCTTAAGGCCGCCGAAGAGAAGCAGTACTTTTTTGAGGAGAAACTGTTGAAAAGTGAACTCGGACCAGAGCTCATCTCCATGTGGAGCAAGAGTCGCGCCCATTGGTTGGCGCTTGTGAAGGAGGACTGGAAGCATCTCTGTCAAAAAGACCCGAAACGGAAGAAATTTACGTGGAAAAACACTTCGGCGATGAATGCAGCCTTTTTTGACCTTTGCGAGGTGGCAAAGCAGGTGATGTTTGGACTGCTACACAAGGAAACGCCGTCCGCCGCGGAAGCGCATTCCTTCTGGGTTCTCTTCGCGGCCCATTTAAGTCACGCATGCGCCACTGAGAACGACATGCCGCGGGATGCTGTCGACATGCACAAAATAAATGTTAAGCTGAAGGATTTTCACTTTGGTGGAACTCGGTATTTGAAAGATATGCCGACTGAAGAGCAGGAGAGGCGCTTGGAGAGGCGGAAGCGCATTGAGGAGGCACGCCGTCGCGGTGGTGCGGCGCAAGAAACACACACGAGCAGTTGGCTGGGGAACGATGCCTTCGATTATCAGCAAGAGGACAGAAAGGTTGACTTTGAGAAAAACGGCTGGATGACTCCCGAGACATATGTGGAGCATCTGGGTCTCACACCGTGCGGCGGCGCCACGGCGGCTGCCGATCCAACCACGCCCATCCACGTCCTCGTCGTCCTTCCGCGAGCTGCCGCATCGGCGCACGGCCAGACGCCAGACATCGCCAAAGCGGCGACGGAGGAGTCGACGCGACTGTTGCAAAATCCGGCTGCGCAGCGTGTCCTGGCGGGGATGCCACGGAATGCCACTCTCCCCTCCCACTTGTCCTTTGGTGGTGTGAAAATCACCGTCGTCTATGACGGCACCGAGCCCGGCGGCGTTGCGCCTGACTTTGTGGTCCTGCAACACGCTCTTGCCGCCATAGAGGACGACGAAGCGGCGCGGGCACGCGTGCAGTATTGGACCTTGCTGGCACGCCATGCCGTGTTTGTTGTCGAGGCTGACGTCAGGGACCGACGCCACTTTGTCCTGCGGGAGGAGGTACGAGAGGCGTACGAAGGTGTTGCCGATGCGTGCTTTAGAGCGCTTTACGCCTCGGCGTACTCAACAGAATCCATTCGGCTGCGAACGACGCCTTCCCTCATCGCTCTGAGTAGCTGCAAAAACATTGGGTGCCGCTTCAAGTTCAGCGGTTCACCCCTAAATACGATCGCCCTCATCGTGGTGAAGAAGCCATTAAACTTCTAAAGCGATCTCAAAAGACACTGTTATGATAGAGTTCTTTTTTTCTTTTTTCTTTTTGAGTTTGTTGTTCTTCTTGGTTTTGGTTCCAACTTTTTGCTGCGTCTCGCATTGATCGCCACGTCGAGTACAACTTTCTTTTCTTTTTTTTTCGGCGGTGGCTCCATCTTGGCAGGGGGCGCCCCAAGGGCTGAACCCTCACCGGTCGTTTCCGCTCCTTTTTTCTTTGTCGTTGTGGTGCCATGTGTTTGGGTAACACCCCAAGTACGTCCCACGACGCGGAGGTCCCGGGAACGAGCCTGCGGTGGATAGACATGCCTCGCAAAACGGACTTTTTTGTGT